AACAACCAGTTCCTACTTACCAGTTTTTAGGCTATTATTTTGACCCGTTTCTTGGCTTCTACATCTGGATCCAGGGACATGGGTTCACTGGTAGTCCTCACTGGAGACCCCAGGTCCTCCCTCCAGCTCCTGATCTCTTAGGATATGGGTCCCTCAATACACATTTCATGGAATCACATTGCCCCAGGCACTGGACTTTCTTCTTCATGCATCATACTTCTTAACTAATATCATGGAAACTTACACCATCAAAATATATACACTACATCTATCCTTCCTGAAAGAAGATGAAATGAAAGGAAGAGGGCTCTGGTAATAGACCAGTTGGAGAATGAATTGAAGGGTAGAGGAGAGGAGAAAAGTGAAAAGAGGCAACGAAAGGCAAACCAGAGTGGTTGAAACCTACGAGGAAGAAGAGAGCTGAGCAAAGAAAATGACACACCAAAAAGTTGCAAAATTTGGGTCCCGTACTGTAGAGAGGTGTGCCCTGGACATGGCCTTCTGGAAAGGTATATGGTATAGAGGGTTATTTAGAGTCTTTAAACAGAATAGCAATCATTTAGACTTGTTGGAAGATAGTTGTCTAAAAGAGTGTTTCTAATATATTATCATTTGTTGAGAATCACTAAAAGAGGTTATATATTTATTTTTAAATTTTTTTTTAAATTTATTATTATTATTTTTTGCGGTACGTGGGCCTCTCACAGTTGTTGCCTCTCCCATTGTGAAGCATAGGCTCTGGACGCGCTGGCTCAGCGGCCATGGCTCACGGGCCCAGCTGCTCCGCTGCATGTGGGATCTTCCCGGACCGGAGCACGAACCCGTGTCCACTGCATCAGCAGGTTATATATTTAAAACTCAGATTCATGGTCCCCATTCTGATTCAGTGACTTTGGAGAAGGCCCAAGAATCTCCAGGTTTAATAAACTCCCCAGGTGGTTCATAGTTCATATATAAACTGACAGAGGATGAAACTTTAAGAAACACTAGACTGAAAGGGCAGCCCCTTGAGGGCTTTAGTCCAGAAAAGACAGTAAGAACTGCAACAGATCAGATTTTGTTCTCTTGCTAACACTAGGCAGTGAGCTCACTGACTTGGAACTGTTCCAAAATTTGTCATTGAAGCCTAGTAGTCCACATGGTGTAAATAAGATAAAGAACCCAGCTAATGGTCCAACCGGTACCTGGGCAATGCATAAGTGAAATGTTGCTGCATTGTGGATTAATAACATGCTAACATACATGTAAAATTACCCAGGTGATTAGCCTGAAAATAGATGCCACTAGATATGATCATATCCTCTGTCAAGGTGAGCAAACTATTTCCCCCTTTCTTTCCAGACTTTTCTAGTAATGTCCTGGTACTGTCAGGCTACCATTACATTTACCCTCATTGAAAGACAAACCCATTTAGAATAAAATTGTACTGTTCTCTGCTGACTATGCCATATCCAGTACATGTCTTTAATTTATCTGCCTGCCTATCTTTTCATATGGTTTTTATCAAATGTGATAACTAGTCACTCACAGATGACTCAAAGAAAATCTAAAGATATACAGATATAGATATGCACATATACATATACAAAGAATATTTTATGTATATATATTTATGTCTGTGTGTATATATATATATATATACAGAGAGAGATTTAAATAATATATACATGTATATCATTATTTACGCATTTTATGTAAAATCATAAAAGTGATATAATTTTTAAGAAAAAAATTGTACAATATGCCAGAGCACTATAAAAGATATTCACAAAATAGAATTACAAGGGAGAAAATGAGTTTGAACCCTTATTTTTTAAAAAACCTGTTTGTAGTGCTATTTCCCAAAAGTCGAGGGGTCATACTGTAAAAAGAAATAACATCACCATGGAAACATTGTCAAATATAAGGGCAGAGTATGTATCTCCAAAATGTCTTCAAAAGAAAAAGTCAAAGAAGGTATTGCCAAAGAAAATAGAAAGCAAGTAAAATTTTATTCTTAATCAATTTTTAATAGAAAATTAATATAAAATGTTATTTAAATCAAGTTAACACTGATTTTAATTAATGAGTATGTTTTCTGCTGTTTTCTTTTTATACTCTCAAGAAACAAAAAGTGATCCTGATAATTCTGAATCTGATTAGAATACCTGGAAAGAAATATTAATAAGAGTCATCATTATAAACACCCAGTCATTTCATCAGCAAACATAAAGGCAAGGTCACCTGCTGGCCTGCTCCTACACAACTTTGAGGGCTTTTTTGGGTGTTAATGATAGCTGCCAAAGAAGTTTTGCAGTGAGTAAGGTTAACAAATCACCCCACAACCTTGCTTCCAAGTTATAGTGTAAGCACATCCCAGACCAAATTCTGCCATGAATACAGATATTTATTTATTATACATGCATTGAAAAGTAAGTAGAGAAAAACAACTTGCATGACCCATCATGTACTCTCAAGGCCCTTTTTGCCTTGGATGGAGGTTCACTCAACTTAAACACCAAGATTCCAGATTCAAGACTATTCCACATGTTGGCATTAGGCAACCAGATTCCTATGGAGTTAATAGCTGGAAGCAGGACAGTCTGGGAATTTAGCCTTGAGCATTGTCTCCCTATGGGTTAAGGAGTAAGACCTCACTCAATTCTTATAATGATATTTTCATGCAAATGTGAGAAAAGTCTTTAAAATATATTTAGTCAGTCTCCATATCTTGAATAACTTTAATTTCTTCAATGACAGCCCATTTCTAACATTTATCAGGCTGATTAGCAAACAATTAAATCAATGAATGAAAATATTTTTTCTGATATTCATCATGTATATGGATGAAGGATGAATTTACAGCCCTGTGGCTTGCATATAGTCTTTTTCATATCAGGTTTGCTGTCCCCCCAACACGGATTCTGGGTTAGGATATTAGCCCCCAGAGTTATTTTTTAACATATTGTCATGTGTATATTATCTCAGTATCATGAATGACATATTTTACAGCACATTACAGATATCATAATGATAGCTTTGCATACAGATCAACAAGTTGCTATATCAGCAATGGGATATGAAAGATGCTAGGAAGACATTGTAGCAAGTTGCTCCCCAAGCTGTTGCTGAAATTCTCTCTAGGGCACATTAGCTAGTCCAGGAGAACTGAATACAGAAGACGGAAGGCTACGGCTAAAAGTGAGCACTCAGAAGCCTGAGGAGTTTGTTGGATCATGGGATGATGGATTCCAAATGTGATGGGAGATACCATGGTGGTTTCCACCTTCTCCTCCCTCCATCTCTCACACTTCCTATTCTGGAAGACATTTGTCTTCTGAAATTTGGTTGGAGCTGTGAGGAAGGTGAGAGTGGATGGAAACCATATTTATCAGATAAGTGGGTTAAGAGATTGAAAGCATGAGGGGTAAGAAGACGTAGTAGAAATGAAGAAGGATGCCCAGATTTTACGTTGTGTAACCGTGTAGGTGAAGGTGCCATTCATCCTTAGAGGCAGAATGCAAAAGGACAGCGTTGAGCAAAATGTTGTTTCTCACATGTCAATTTTGTGGCTCAGGAAAGTCATGACAGCAGTCGATGTTGCTTTTCCAGCCATCTTCTAAATCAGAGTAATCTCTCCTCTTTGATTTTATGACCTTAAATTGTCTTCTGAGGGAGTTATTGGAAAAGCAGGCAAAACTGTTGGAATCATGACCAGGTATGGGCAAGATTATATATATATATAATTATTATTATTATTTTTATTTTTTGCGGTACGTGGGCCTCTCACTGTTGTGGCTCTCCCGTTGCGGAGCACAGGCTCCGGACGCGCAGGCTCAGCGACCACGGCTCACGGCCTCAGCCGCTCCGCGGCATGTGGGATCTTCCCAGACCGGGGCACGAACCCATGTCCTCTGCATCGGCAGGCGGACTCTCAACCACTGTGCCACCAGGGAAGCCCAAGATTATATATTTTTTAATGTCTTTATTTCCAGAAAGCCTCTGCTACAAATTACTTGTAAAAACATTAGGTAATTTTCTGCCTAGAAGTATCATAGTATCAGAAGACAGACATCTCTGGTTTTAAGTTTGAACACTGGCCTTTGTTAATCATGGTGACCTTGAGCAAGTAACTTAAGGTCTGTGAATCATAGGTTTCTAATCTGTAAAATTAGAATGCTACTCTACCCTTTATCTTTTCTTTATAGGTCAATGTATTAATGAAGTTGAAAAATGAGAAGTGTTTGTGAACTGTAATTTATGTTATAAATGCTATTCTTATTTTCATAATTATCATTGTTATAGCAAGATATTTATTTCTTCTATCTTAAATACATAACTATTTCTAGGATCAAATATTTAATGGTGTTTGATTGTTTACTACAATTATATTAATATGCATCATCTGTAGTCTATAGGTAATTTATTGCTTTTGGAGGTCAATAGGCCAATTGAGGGGTGTGTGTGTGTGTGTGTGTGTGTGTATTCTAGAATATTTTGAAATATAAAAAGATATTCTGAATTTAGTGCTTTGTGATTGAATTGGTCAATATAGGCAACATATTGAATGCAGTATTTCCAACTCAAATAAAAAATGAAACAATTACCCAATGGAGGATACCTTGTCCAAATGTAAGATAGTTGTTCCAAAGATAGCTTTTACTAAAGTAATATCATTGGTGTCTGTGTGTGGTCATAAAGAATAATTTTATCTGCTGTTCAGTATCTTAAAACCACTATTTACTTGTTTAAATTTTTGTAATTATTTCCTGGAAAAAAATTAAAAAGTATCGATAGTAAATGTTTTTCTTATATAGCAATGCTAGTATAAAAATTCACTACGTTGGGTTAATTCCCCCAAATTTAAATCAGCAATTCCTGCATCTGAGCAGGATATATCAGCTCAAGACTTCCTGATGTTCCTCTTTCCCTATATCTTTCAGCTTCTTTTCCCTGCACTACCTTTCCTGTTCTGTAGTTAGTTGAAAACAAAGGTTAGTTTAGAAATGCCAGCTTCATACTATTTATCTACATAGAGTGAAACACACTTGTACAAACAATAGCGACCTTCTCCTTGTGCAATATAGAATGTGGTCAATCATTTGGCAATTCAATTTTGGTGCACTGTGAACTATTTATTGGTTAAGTTCAGTACTTTGGGTGGCAAAAGCTTGGAGAGGATTTTTTTTTTCCATTTTACAGGAAACTATAAGTTTGCAGGACCTAATATTTATTTCACAGTCAAACTTGTACTATTGTATTGATAAATATTTAATGGTATTGAGCTCATTGGTTATGCCTTGTACATTTCATTTAAATGTTTTATTACTCTAAAAGTGTAGTGTGGTCCATTGAGGAAGGAAAAGAAGGGTGAAAATTTTTCCAACCTGAGATGAGAGAGAACTCAATTTCAATTTGGAGCAAAGAGAGGAAGAGGAAAAACAATCAACCATATATTTTTTTGAGGTCCAGACAGATTATTCTTGAACAAAGTTTCCATTCAGAAAAAAAACATCTGGAAAACTCTATGAAAAATTTCAGAATTGTTTAAGCTGAAAGGCTCTTACAATGCCACAGATTCAAGATTATTTTGAGAGAGAAAAATAGACGATGATGTAAATTCTGACGTTTCTACAGACGACATTCCCTTAGTTTATTCAGTGGGAGACGGGTGGGGACAGGCGGGAAAAGGGACATCAAATGAGAACAATTTCTGTAATAGTGAAAGTGGGTATTTGGGTAAATGAATAAAATGAAAGAGCAATCTCTGAATAAAAAAGGACTCTCATTGCATTTATAAATGAGATTGAGCTTATGAAGAAAAAAATACATCCCACAGTAAAATAAAAACAGCTTTTGTTTTTGCAGCTGGTAGCTGCAAAAGTTCAATACAGTAATTTTCACATTTTTCATGATGAGGACTCCTTTTATATGCCCAAGAGTTTTTAGAGATCCACAATATAGTTAATGTACTGTCAATGTTTGTGAAATGACTAAAAACTATTCTAAATTACTGACACATTAAAACATTTTTAAAAAGTCACAGTAGTATAAGCAAGCAAACAAAATGGGGGTACGTATTTACAAAACCAGATTAAAGAGACATGCCAGACAGTTGATCAGAATGCCAGTCTACAAAGGGCACTAAAATACGACTGAAATAAAAATCGTGTGCCAGTTAACTCAGGTTAAATTTGACTTGTTAAATTCTCATTGAATTGTAAATTGTTTCTACTTCTCTATTTGCAGTAGATAAAAGCCTCAGGTAGAAATTTTATAACTCTCTTCAAGGGCTCCTAGCCCCACTTGTATTAAATAGATAGCAAATAATTTTTTAAAATATCCTCTTGAAAAGGCATTAAATTCTAGGCTCCCCAAGGATATACATTTCTCCAAACAGCAGAACATATATTCATCAAATATGGTATTATTTTTTCAAACTACAGTACATTGTATGCATATGGATTCAAAGATCCTTTGCATTAATCCTTTGCCCACTTCTGATGGGCCCGCTGCAATCCACAGATCAGGAATACCTGAATTCCCCAATAGACTCTTGGGGTCAGAATGTCCCATAAGGATTCTACCACTCATCTTGGTCTTGATGTCAAAACTTTTCTTGATCCCATTTGTCATGAGACCTAGTTATGCCCTAGTATTTAGCCTCAGATTCTCAATGACACAGTATTGACATCCTGCAATAAATCACTCCTTTCCTGGGTTAGCTTAAGTGGGCCTAGACCCTGATTACAAGGAGCCCTAACAAGGTAAACCTCTTTGGTCCTTCACACATAGAGCTATTCACCTAGCAGACTGTAACAACAGTCCTGTGCTAAAGCCCCATCATATAGTGTACAAAGTTTAGTTCCCCAGTTGGATTTTGCTATCAAATTCCCTCCAGGGTTCATGGGCCGCTTTTCTTTCCTTCACTTGCTTGTCTTTAATCCCAATTCAGTTTTGATCTAAATTGGATTTATTGTCTCTCCTCCAAATCATGTGGATTCACTTTTCCCCTTTATGGGTTTGTGAAAGCAAAAGTAAGTGTCTTAATATGTTGTCACTTAAGAGTAGATATATTACTTTAAATACAAATGACACATTTAACTGGACAATCACACACATCAGAAAAGTTCCTCTGGACGCGCAGGCTCAGTGGCCATGGCCTAGCCACTCCGCAGCATGTGGGATCTTCCCGGACCGGGGCACGAACCTGCGTCCCCTGCATCGACAGGCGGACTCTCAACCATTGCGCCACCAGGAAAGCCCGAGCTTCCTCTTTTTGTTATTACCACATAGGCATGGATGGTTGAGCTGCTAGATGCTGATACTGAGCACATAAATGCAGCCAAAATAGTGAATTCACAGGATGATATGAAGATGGTGAAATGATACACATAGCATTAGTCCGTGGCCCTTCCAAATGCTGTAGCTATATTTTATAGTTCCTGGACCATAGCAAGGTTGTCGCTCAAAATGTTATTTGGTCACATTTTCATAGGGAAGTCCAAACATGTCTTTTTTTTTTTTTTCAATCACCAGAAATCAGATTTAGGAAGACCTAACAATTCAAAATGTATATATATCAAAATTCCTGTAACAAAACTGAGAGTACAAAAGGGAGGACAAGAGGACAAATCCACAACCATAGGTGGAGATTTTAACACTCTCTGAGTAATTGAGACCAGACAGACAAAAGCACATATATAGAGGTAAAAATTATATATTTGAATTTGAATAACACTGCCAAACAACTTGAAATGTTTGATACTTATAAAATATTTAATCCAACAACTGCAGAGCACATATCCTTTTCACATTGTACAAGGAATGTTGATCAAGATAGATTATATGCTCCTGCATAAAAAAAAAATCTCAATACACTTCAAAAGACTAAAATTTTACACTGCACTCTCCTATCACAGAAAAATTAAGTTAGAAATCTATATACAATAGAGACAGAGAAGTAAAAAAAAATTGGAAATTAAACAACCACTTATAAATAGTCCATATTCAAAGAATAAATCATAAGTAATCATATATGATAATGAATTATAATTCAAATATAGTGTATCACAATTTGTTAATGCATATAAAGGCATAAACAAGTATATATCCAGTCAGCTGCCTGTTTTTGTAAATAAAGTTTTATTGGAGACCAGCCACAATATTCATGTATATATTGTCTATAGCTGTTTTTGGACCTCAACAGAAGAGTTGAGTAGTGGTGACAGAGACTGTATGGCTTACAAACCTAAAATACTTCCTGTCTGAATCTTTACAGAAAAAGTTTATTGACCCTTAAAATAATGCAATAGTTAAAGATAAATAGGTTTTACTTTCTGAGCCTCAGTTTTCTCATCTGTAAATGAGAGTATTAAAAGTATAGACCTTAAAGGGATGTTATAAGAATTCAGTGACATAATGTAAATAAAGTGCTTAGCAGATTACCATTCTATTAATCTTAGATATTATTATCAACAAAAAGGATAAGTAGGTTTTAAAAGATTTAAGAAAGAAGATTTGTAAAAATTAACAATCAAGTTTTCTTCCTTAAGAAAGTAGAAAAGAAAGAAAATTAAATCTGAAATAAGTAGAAAGAAAGAAATAAAAATAAACTAGATCAATGAAGTAGAAAAATTAAATTAACAAAGTTACATTGCTTCTGAAAGGCTAATAATATTAATAACTCAGCTAGATATAATAATAATATATTATATACAACAAAATATATACTATATGTTTTATATTTACATAACTGTAGATATAAAATATGTTTTATATAATATAGAAAATAATATACAATAATGTAATGTATTATATGCAAATACATTTAAAGTAATAATATTATTATAATACACAATAACAATATAGTATAATAATAGCGATATAACCATAAACTCATGGCCAAGAAATAGAGAAAACACAAACTACAAATATCAGGAATGAATTAAAGCATGACATAGATAATAAGCTAACATTATAAATAGTTTTATGCTAATAATTTCCACGATTTAGATGAAGCAGAAAAATTTATTTTAAAACAGAACCTACCAAAACTGATAAAAGGTGAAAAGCATATCTAGAAGTCTAATATTTATTAAGAATATGAATTTGTTATCATAAACGGTCTTAACAAAAAAAGTCAGGCAAATATGGCTTCATTCACATATGGTGAATCCTATTAAACATTTTAAAAAGAAACAACATATAAAAGTTAAACACACTCTTTCAGAAAATAGAGAGGGATGGTTTGTTAGCTTTCTTAATGAGGCCAGAGCAACTCATATCAAATATTTAAAACATATTAAAATAAAAAATTATAGACCAATATTTCCTCATAAACATAGACATAGAAACATTAAAAAAATATTAGCAAATCAAATACAGCAACATAAAAGATAATAGATTATAACCAAGTAGAGTTTCCTCCCCTTAAAATACTAATAAAATAGAACTATCTTATGAACCAGCAATCCCACTACTGGGCATATACCTTGAGTAAACCATAATTCAGAAAGAGTCATGTAGGGCTTCCCTGGTGGTGCAGTGGTTGAGAGTGTGCCTGCCGATGCAGGGGACACGGGTTCGTGCCCCAGTCCGGGAAGATCCCACATGCCGCGGAGTGGCTGGGCCCGTGAGCTATGGCTGCTGAGCCTGCACGTCCGGAGCCTGTGCTCCGCAACGGGAGAGGTCACAACAGTGAGAGGCCCGCGTACTGCAAATAAAAAACAACAAAAGAGTCATGTACCACAATGTTCATTGAAGCTCTGTTTATAATAACCAGGACACGGAAGCAACCTAAGTGTCCATTGACAGATGAATGGATAAAGAAGATGTGGCACATATATACAATGGAATATTACTTAGCCATAAAAAGAAAAGACATTGAGTTATTTGTAGTGAGGTGGATGGACCTAGAGTCTGTCATACAGAGTGAAGTCAGAAAGAGAAAAACAAATACCGTATGCTAACACAGTTATATGGAATCTAAAAAAAAAAAAAAAAAATTGTTCTGAAGAACCTAGGGGCAGGACAGGAATAAAGCTGCAAGCATAGAGAATGGATTTGAGGACACGGGGAGGGGGAAGGGTAAGCTGGGACAAAGTGAGAGAGTGACACTGACATATATACACTACAAAATGTAAAGTAGATAGCTAGTGGGAAGCAGCCACATAGCACAGGGAAATCAGCTCAGTGCATTGTGACCACCTAGACGGGTGAGATAGGGAGGTGGGAGGGAGACCCAAGAGGGAGGGGATATGGAGATATATGTATATGTGTAGCTGATTCACTTTGTTATACAGCAGAAACTAACACAACATTTGTAAAGCAATTGTACTCCAATAAAGATGTTTAAAAAAAAATCAATCAGTCAATGTTCAAATTAATAGAACAAGAAAAAAATCACAGATTTAAGAAACACATTTGACAAAATCCAGCAGCCATTCTCCATAAAAATTATTGGCAACATAGGAAGGGAAGAAATTTTCCGAAATAAAAAATGAATATCTAAAAAAAATTCACATCATATTAATGATATACTAAACTTTGACCCCCTATGTTGGAAAACAAAGCAAAACTGTTTATGTCACTATATTTATTCAACGTTAGAATGGCATTCCTAGACATTGCAGTAAGGCAAGAAAAGAAATAAAATGCATTCAGATTGGAAAGGGGAAAATCAAAGAGTTTTTACTTTAAAAGAGCAAACTTGTTGAAAGATTAAACCTTAAGACTTTCCAGAAAAGAAAAATTGGAAATAATAGATAAATTTAGCACAATAGAGTAGTATATTATCACCAGTCAAATTCATATTTATTTCCATATACTAGCCAGAAACAATTAGAAAAATAAATAAAACATTCACATCATCAGAAACATAAAATGCCTGGGAATACATTCATCAAAACATGCTTAACTTCTATTTTGAATATTATACAACGTTGCATAGAGAAATTTTAAAAATTACGGAAAAACACGTTCTGATTTTATATTAGAAAAGTTAATATTGTTTAGACATTAATTCTTCCCAGACTGATTTACAGATTCAATATAACCCAGACAAAATTTCCAAAAAAGTAATTTTGTAGAAATTGAGAAGAGGATTCTCAATTCAGATGATAATGCTCCTTGAGGAAGTTTGGGAATGTGTGTGTATGTAGTGGGTGAAGGGGTTTATTTCTTAATGATGGGAGAGGAGCAAAAGGTAGTTTAATGGCTAGAGGACAGGGCTGTAATGAGAAAGATATTTCTACAAAATGAAGACACCCCTTATCTCTTTGAGAAATACAGCTGTAGGTGATTTAAATATAGAGCCATAAACTGTGATATCTAGAAAAGATTCAAATTAAGACCAAAGTTTTCATTTTATGTAGAAAATTAAATCTAAAATGTTAATTTTGTTTGAAGTTATCAATAGTTTTTTTTGTTTTTTTTGTTTTGTTTTGTTTTTTTTGCGGTACGCAGGTCTCTCACTGCTGTGGCCTCTCCCGTTGCGGAGCACAGACTCCAGACGTGCAGGCTCAGCGGCCATGGCTCACGGGCCCAGCCGCTCTGCGGCACGTGGGATCTTCCCAGACTGGGGCACGAACCCGTGTCCCCTGCATCGGCAGGCGGACTCTCAACCACTGCGCCACCAGGGAAGCCCTATCAGATAGTTTTTTGACAGACTCATTAAATTATTAAAGCTCAGATACATCAACTTCCAGTCCAGTACTCTTTCTGCTTTACCATCTCTCAGAACTCAGGTAAAATCAGAATTAAAAACAAAAAAATTGACTCTTCAAGTCAAATAGTTGCTCTTTGATGTTGACTTTAATCTTTTCAGGGAAAGCTGGGTTTTAAAGAAAGTGATAGAGTCATATAATGGAACACTACTAGCATTACAGCAAAACGATACTCCAAAATTTAGTGATTTGAAACATGTTAACAAACATTTTATTGCCTCTCATGTTCTGTGGTTTTAGTAGACTCAGTGGATAGCTTTATTGGCCTCTGGGATGCTTTAATGGCTGGAT